GAAGGCAGATGAATTAAGTAATTTCCCAATAGGTAGGAAGCTAGGAAATAGTGGAATCAGTTGTGAATCTTGCATATCGATTTAAATTTGTACAATGACAAGCTGTTTCATCAAAGTTTTAGGTAAGACTCTAATCTCATCCCTAACTCCTGGCAGAGAGACTACTGAATGAATTGCTTTAAAAAAGAAGAGGGCTGGAAGTAAGGCTGTGTCCAAGTCCTGCAGAAAATTAGAAAGATAGGGTTAGGGTTACACAATGAAAATGAAAAATTTTCAGTTATTGAAAAAGTATGATTGAGGATTTATTATGTACTCATAAGGCTAAATAGTGGTCAAAACCAGACTTTGTTCTACCATTAAGTCTTACACACTAATGGGAGAAACTGCATCAAATGGATGTAAAATTACAACTGTAATACGTGCTGTGAAGGAGAAAATAGCACCACCAGTGTATAATAGGATTTTATGGAGACTGAAGGTCAGGGAAGACTTCCCAATGAAGGAGTACTTGGTGTGAAATCTGAGTTAGTAACACTAAGTTGATAACTAACTGAAGACAAAGAAAAACAGTCTAGGAAACAAGATCAGGAGAAATCATGATGAACAGAGGACAGGTACTACCTCACAGTAAGGTAGGAGTCATTCAACAAGTGAGAAGGAAACCAGAAAAAACACTTCCCTGATTTAAGTCCGGAATGGAAGTTGGAGACATAGTTTCAGAAAGGTAGATATAACTATAGTCCAGGGATGAAATAACTACCTCGAGTTAAAATGGTGGAAATGGAGATGTTCAGATACAATTGGCAGCAACTGATGAAAATAGACGACATATGACAGGGAGAGAAGAGGTATCATGGATGTCTTCCAGATTCTGGCTTCTACATTTAGAACACTGATGTCACATTCAGAGACAGACAACAATGTAATTAGACCAGGTGTGTGATAGAGAACTGAGACTGACTATTATCTCTCCTGGTTCTGGCATAATCATACTGTTTTTATACTTCAACAAAACACTTCATCCTCTCAGTGTGTGCTTCATTGTCAGTGATTTATTTGCACTGATTTACTTGCAAAGTGCTAGGTTACACACTAAAGCCAGTGCTTCTGTGAGTTCCCTTACTTGGAATGTCCTTCTGTTCCAGCTAATTCCTTCTCATCTTCTGAATCCTATGTTAGACCCCCAAAACCCCTTCCTTAGCAAGTTCAATTTTTAAAAAAAAATTTTTTTTTAAAAAATTAGATTAGAAGTTTCCAGGATCCATAAAATGGATTTACATTCATATTTGTAATCCTAGTGGCTGGCATAGCATTTGACATATTGCTGACAAAGAATGGAGCAATGAGATAACTTTCTCACAGTTGCCCACTGGATCACGGCAGAGTTAAAATGAGAACTCAGTACTCAGCTCAAAATAGTCACAGTCTAAAACATCACTCTGTACTTCCTGCCTGTGTCATATCTCCACACTGATATTAATTAAGGGCAGGAATCACTGCTTTTTGCAGTTGCTTAGGATGTTCATTAGTCAAAACTGTGAAGACAGCTTAAACTGATTTCTGTAAATCAGGAAAATGATTCTGAATTTCAATTCTGCTGTCAACTTGCGAATCTTCTGCCAGTTGGAGAGTCTATGAAAGCTCCAATGGAAATAATGTTCAGCAAAGGAGACGTAGAAAGCCAAGCTGTCTACAGAAAACCATTTGTGTCTATTTGAGCTTGTAAAATCAGGTGAAGAAGGAAAACAAGATAGTTATGATTGATTCAGGGAGGTGGTGGCATTTTCCTGAACAATTTCACTGACAGTAAGCCAGAATTAATGTACCCTGTTGCCACTGTTTCTAGAAAATGAAGACATATGAAATTCTAAGCAGCTGCATCCTTGGAAGGTGTGTTTTAGAGTCCTGTGAGGACTTCAGAGGGTGGTGGTTTTCCCGTCTCAAATACAGAAGAGCTTATGTTTTTGGTCTAAAAATATAAACTTTGGTCTAAAACTTTCTAAGCATGCGCATATACCCACCTATTAGGAAAGATTGAAAATTTATATTCAAAATTATCAAAGTATAATTTTCAAAGAGTTAAAAATATAATTTTTACACAAGTATACAGTGATCACATGTAAAGACTTATTTAATTTATGGGTTAGAAGACAGGCAAGTTGGTAAAAGCTGTACAAAGGCAGATAAAGAAATTAATGCTGCAATAATATTACCATTAACCTTAAACTTGTCAATCTCACTGTATTAAGGAATGTCTAGTAGATTAGCAGTGTGACCTTGGGTACACTATGGTCTCCATCCTGTTTCTCTCAGAGACCATTACCCTGCTCTGTTCCCCACTAAGCATCTCTCCCCTACCACACCCTTCCATCATCACGTTCCTGCATTGGAGACACTTATGGACAGAATTTCCCCATACTGAAAACTAAATTAGATCTTTTTTTCTTTTAAATTGTGTGTCAGGCATTGTATTCAGCAAATGGAATGCTTACTAATACACACAAGCAGTGGTAAAATATGCTGGAATAAAATTGTTAAATTAGTTCATATTCTGCTAGCTAATAAAATCATAGGCATGGGGTTATTTTCTTTGCTGGACATAAATCATTTTTGTCGCTACTAGACAAAATCATCTGTGCAGGCTTTCAGTTTTCTACTAGACAGCATCTAACTTTACTACATCTAGAAGTAAATAACAAGTAATAATCAGTTATATTAACATAGAATCAGGTAGTTGGTTAGATAGTTAAAAGATACCTAGTTTTTATTTGGCTGGTTTCCACATTTTGGAAAATTTTTCCTAACAGAAGAATCACAGGAACAAAACTAAAATATCCACTGGTATTCCAAGATATCCAAAACATATGTCTTGTGTTTTGGAACAAAAGAGAAAAAGAAAAGGGGTGGGTGGGAAAGAAGGAAAATGAATTCAGGCTCTAGAGATTATTCTTAAATTAGTCTCTCAGATTTCTTCTTATAAGAAAACTGTAAGTCCTGCCTTACTGCCTTAGTTACTTACTTGTTGCTGAGATAAAGTATTTGACACCCAAAGTCAAAGGTTTGTTTAACTCACAGTTTGTAGGGGTTTTAGTCTATAATCGCTGTCTCAAAGGCAAGATAGTACGTGGCAGTGAAGGGAACAGTTCACAGTAGTGGAGAACAGCAAAAGCAATGAACAAGAAAGAGAAAGAGGGACAAGTCTCTGTCTGTCTCTTACATTGTATGCAGACTACTGGGATTAGGCTGGTGACTACCCAATCAGTGTACTGACCCAGAAATCACCCACCCTTAATCTCAGCACCCTTAATCCCAGCACTGCACTGTGAATCAGTCACACCCTTTAGATTCAGCTACCTCTGGAAAAAAGCCCTTTGACTGTATGAGGCTTTGGGGGGACATCTTGACACAAATCGAACACCTGGCATTTTTACCACGTCTACCTAACAGAGATCTAGATGCTGCTCTTATTCACATATCTCAGCATATGTCATCTGGCAATTAAACTCTACAGATTGCAAGGGTACTTCATCAGGTTACCTGGTTCCTTCACTCATTGCATGTCATGTCATTCATTCACATGGGGGATATAACAGAATAAAGAAATATATTTTCTGCACGCATAGAATTCACACTTTACCATTGACTGAAATAAGCAGGAAAAGAGCAAACAAATATACATAATAATAATGGATTTCAAGAGCGTCCTGTAATAGAGAGTAGAGGGTGGTGTCAGTTTTGAGTTTGTTCACTTTGATTTCTGTAGACACAGCATGTTTAAACTGAGGACTGAGGGATGAAAAGGTACCAGCCATACAGAGGGATATTTCAAGTACTGGGGATAATTAATGCACAGAGGTACCTTCTGTTCTAAAATCTGTGTAACGTCCAGAGAGTATGAAGGGAGGAAATAAGGGAGAGAGTAACGTAAGCAAAGACTATATAAATGATGAATGCAAAATTATGAAAGTATCTGTAGTAAGAAATTTTAAATTTATTCCAAAGCAACAAAAAGTCTCTAAACATTGTTTGTTTGATTTTTTGTTTGCTGCAGTTGAGCATCTCAATTTGTATTTTAAGTGATTAATTATGGCTGCAGTTAAAATGGACATTCATGGAGAATGGATTATGGAAGTCAGGCCGAAAATGTGGAAACCCATTAGTTCACTTCAGTAGCTCAGACAACACATGAAAAGGCCTCAACCAATGTGATGACTATAGAGACAATGAATAGTGGGTGGATTTGAGAGATACTCTGGAGGCTCGATCTTTGTTGTTGAACTGGGAAGATATGAAAAATGACTCCTGGATTATTCTACTGCTGATACATAGCACAGTTTATTGAGATGAATAAGATAATGGTTTAGGGAATGAAAGGAAGAATTGTGATGATTTGGCAGGAAATAGTCAAGAATTCCATTCTGGACTCATTTAAGTTTCCAGATCATGCAGACTGTGACACATTCAGGTATCAAGTAAGCAGCTGGATATGAGGCAGGAATTCAAGGAAGAGAGCCAGATTTCAGGTTTACCCACAAGTCTCAGCATGTGAATTTGTACTTTTCTGACATAGAGGAAGTCTCTAAAGGCGAAAGTGCAGACGAGGACCCAAGCCTTGGAGACATATGCTAATATGCCACAGGTGGATTAAAGTAAGGAAGGCTCACATTTCTATGTTTCTTTTTACTGAAACCACTTGTCCGTAATATGAGTTAGAGTCTACTTCCACTTTGGATTATTCTTAGTGACTGTTGCCTTATTTGCATGTTATTAGGTGTAGTGACATGTGGTTCCAACTATGGAGATTTTGGAAACATTCTCCCTTTTACATTCAACACTGTTGAACTCTCAAAAAAATAACACATAAATAATGCTTTTCTTCTCTTTGGATCTCCAACCATTTACCTGGAAACTTCTTATTTGTCAAGAATTCTCTTAGGAAAAAAAGAGGTAAGAAATGTGAGGATATAGGGCAAAAGAGTAGAGAGGAAACTCTTCCTTACCTCTTCTTCTTCAAGGAGAATGAGCCGAACCACAACAATGTGAATTGCATTTCCAATGCTTGGGTTATGAAACAACCCAGTAACCTGGGGTCAGAAATCGAAAACTATTAACCCTCCATGAATAAATAATATTTATCCACGTCAAAGGGGGAAAAACAGAACTATAATGCATTAAATACACAGGTCATGAATTCTTGGCATAGTTCGAAGAAGAATAAGGTATGCCCATAGCTTAACTTCATTTATGATATTTATTTAAAGATAAACTTTCAAGCTGATTGATTGGCTGTATGTTTGAGGTATTTATGCTTTTCTTTTCTTTGACCTTTTCCCTGATTCAAGGTTTCACCCTCTTTTATTTTCAGGCAGCAAAGTGAATACTTTTCCTCATCTCAAAGGACAGATGCCCTCTGGAAAGACAGAACACATCAATAAAGAAGCTTAAAAATAAGGATTGCAATATAACTTCATTCCAATTCTCACTCTATTCTGAGGAAATCACATTGAAGTTCTTTTTGTCTCTGATTATCATTTATATATCAAAATAAACAATCACTGAAACAAAGTCATTCTCAAAGGACTGAATCACTTGGTAAATACCAAGTAGAATTATGCAAAGGATAAATCACAATTTTTCCCATGTGTACATTTTTAAAGGAAAGACTAACTCGTCCTCAGTTTCCATCCTCATCACATAGGGTCAAGAGACTCGCATCTATAGGAAGAAGGACATGTCTAGCAACTGTGACCAGTCATCCCTCCCTCTGTCAAAGCCTGACACACCATGTTCATGATGGTGAGGATGTAAGACTCCACGTTCTCACTCCCATGATACTCAATCATCTTTGTGTCAGCCACCACCAGTGTCTCCACCCATCTCTCCTTGCTGATGGAACGTCGAGAAAGGCTTCTGCGTGGCACATTGTTGTTCCTCTCCCACTTCTCTCGCCGAAGCTCCTGCTGCTTGGAGGTGTCAAGACTGTCTGGACATGAAGCAGAAGATAGAGGGCTAATTATGGATACCTATGTTATACATTATACATTTAAGTTTGTGACAATGCAAGGCTACAAGTATAATTTATGCTTAATAATGTGTGTGCACTGTCATATACATAACTCAAATAGAAAAGAGCAGTTTAAATGAATGTGAACAAAACAATATAAATTTGAATCAAAAGTTCAAAAAGTATTGCTTAAAACTATCATGACCTATTTTGTTAAATATATCTTCTACTTTTAAAAAGATATTTTAAACAGGGATAGGAACTTTCACTTTCTTCTTTAAGTTACTCAGTGCCTACTATGGACAAAGCAGTAAGCCAGGCTTCTAAATGCCAAACCATTGGTCCTCATGAGTGTTTGAAATACATATTTGCAAACATAGAAACTTATCCACAGAGCATCTTGTTAAATAACTTCCTTAAAGTCACACAGCCCATTGGGTCACATATCCTACTCAGAAGCCTGGGAATTTCTCTGCACCAGATTAATACATTTTTCATATGTGTCACCCTGTCTCTCACAGTTCCCATGGAGGAAGCCATGTATGAAACTAGAGAATATGTACGCTAGAAAACTTCAATTGGTACAGAGCATCCTGCTTTAAGAAAGCAAAAAAAAAAAACCTTCAAATGATTCAAAGGAGAGTAAATGATCAAGGCAAGTAACGGGTGTCATTGTGAAGGTTCACAGTTTGGGAGACAAAAATGCAGAAGCAGCTATAGAATCACCATGGGGAAAAAAAAGAAAGAAGCTACATAGTTTAATTCTTAAAATCCCACAATACCATATTTATGGAGCATGTCCTAACTTGAGAGTGGCAAAGTGATCTACTGAAAACGAAAATGGAGTCCTTCACCCATTTGGAAGTAAATGTTTCCTCCAAGTGGTGGTCACGTCTGAAAAGTTGCAGTGAGCTCAGAATACTTTAGGGAGTTGGAGAGAGATGAACTAACTGATTAGGGGAGTGGAAGAGGAGAGACAACTGGACAGATGTGGAAAGGCAGTGACTAGTTTTTGGAAGATTCTCTTAAGAATACAACCACATACATCTTCTGTGTCTTCCTCATTTGCATCCTGTAGCGCTGGTAGGGGCAGAACACAAGGCCAAATGGTAAAGTTTACATTCCTTTCCTAATTTCTATTTTCTCCAACAAGCCTTGACCAGAACACCTTCAATGCAGTAATGGATATGCAGTGGCAAACAAACACTGAAATGACATCCAGGATTTGGAGGCAGATTTATATATGTATACAGACACAGATCAGGATCATTCCCAGAGTATCAAGCCGATTGCTGGCAGTCTAGGGCTTACATGAGATAAGACAGCAATAAGCAGGCAGAATGGTTTGTCAGCTGGGGACTGGCATATACAATGTGCATCATATTGACAAGCGATGTATCACAGTGACCAGCTATTTCTAAGAGACAGGCGCAACTAGAACTGGAACAGGAAGTATTACCTGGCCAACTGATGAACTGAAGTATACTGGCTGAGAAGAACATTTTATGTTATATTTCTCCTGTCTTTTAGTTTCCCCAGCAAATCTTTGCTGAGCATATTATGTGTTAACTTCTGAGGCAAGGCCCAACTAAAAGCAGTAACATTAGGATTGTCAGTGGTCCCCAACATTGCCTTATTGCAGAGGTTTTCTTTTGTAAGTTGTCTTTAGGAAGAGGTATAATTTAGGGCTGTCTGTTCTATAACATCATTCCAGCAAGATAATATGGGAGATAATTTGATCTAGAAGAGTGTCCACTGTGCCTTGGATTACACTCATGAAATCCTGATCAAATGTTTGATCTATTCTCTTGAGGCAGCCATCCACAGAGCAAGGGCTGGGTAAACAGCCTGAAAAGGCACAAAAATAAAGGGAATAGGTGTCGAACAGTCCTATAAACTGGGTTCTCAGGTTTCAGCCATGCATGGACTGGTCAGCACGCAGACTGACCAGAGCAAGGCACTGAGCGTGTCATCTCTTTAGAGTGAGGTGTCTGGTCCAGGTAAATTTTTCAGTATATCTAAGGCTGGATTTCTGGACCTCTGTAAAAGTCCTTTTTTCTGCAGTCAGGGACTATCGGTTTTGGCTAATTACTTCCTTTGTATGTGTTCTTCACATTTGAATGATGGTGCAACAGACAAAGGGTGATCTGAGAAACCTTTCAGATGCTTGCCTGGCTGCACCACTCACAGGGACTTAGATGTGACTTAGCTAAGGAGGCTGTAAAGCCTCTGTTTTGCCATTTGTTGATTGCCATGGAACCAAATGTGAGGACGTAGTCAGCCATCATGACCAGTCCTTCCCAGTCTTGGTGCACAGATGGAGCAGCCTATTGCTTGCACAGTCCATTCTACTCACTCACACAATCATTCAGCAGGCACTCAGAGGTTAGACAATCCATCCCCCTTCCTCTGAGGGTAGCCTTAACTAATAAGAGTGGATCAAGCTCTTCTTGCTGAAACAAACAGAACTGACTGACTAACTGGGATGCTCCTCAGGGGTCTTACTAAAATCAGGCAGGCAGAAAGACAGACAGATGGATTATGTCTTCCTCTTTTTGAGGTCCTATATAAGCTTCCCAAGTGGGGGAGCCAAGAATTCTCTTCCACACCTCTAAGGAGACTCAGGAAATAATAAGAATTTCCTTTTTTGTCAGAATGTGAAGGGATCCTTGTTTTGTCCACAAGAGCCATGACTGGTGACCAAAGAGATCAGCATGGTCAGTTTTTCTGGCCAACAAACGAGAACCAATGACAAAAACAAACACCAAAACAACACTCAGAATTTGGGGGCAGATTTATTTATATAGACAAGTACTGATCAGAATCATTCCCAGCATATCGGGCCCTGGTATCTGGTGGTCTTAGTGCTTATATTGGATAAACAAGCAGGAAGTATAGAAGCAGAATGTTTTGTCAGTTGTGGATTGGATTTTACAATTGGCATCATAGGGACCAGCTATGCATCACAGTGACCAGCCATTTCTAGGAGACAGAAGCAACTGGAACTGGAACAGGAACTATTACCTGACCAACTAACAAACTGAAGTTTACCAGCTGGAGGGGCCGTTTTCTGTTACAGATGCTCACCAGTAGGCATCTTTTACTGCTGGAAAGTTCTCTCCTGTTCTGAGCTTAGCCCCTCTATAATTCTCACTCATTCAGCATCTAGAACAAGCCACTATATCAGTATGCTCCATTGTGACAACTAAAATATATCCTCCCTCATCTCCAGTGCTCTTTACCTTGTGAACTCATTCACACTGATTGGCTTTGTGATTTTTCTGGATCCTACATTCCACTGTCTATATGAAGTTAAAACATATTAAGTAATATTGATAAGAAAGGAAAAAAGGAAGGAATGGGGGGAGACAGTGAGGGAGGGAAGGAAGGAGGAAGGAAAGAAGGATTTTATCAGTCTAAATAAGTCTGAATTCTGTAATGATGTTTGCTGAAAAAGAATAAAACTGTACTTTGATGTAAGCTATCTGAAAAATAATTAAGGTTTTTGTAAACATTAGAGGGAAGTCATCTGGATGTTTATGAATGTGGAGTCAGTTAACCTTGTCTATGGTAAAACAATATTTTCTATTTTCCTTTTCATTTTTCATGGAGAAGTATGAACTTCCTAGGAAGTATCCAAAGATTTAATCAATTGTTTCTTAACTTTCTCTGCCCATTCTTATTCCATTATCAGCCTGCTCATTCTTTTTCTGAAGCTCATGGAGATGTTTTTAAACAACTATCTACTCTGAAATCTCTCTGTGCAATTTGTGCAGCCAACCAGGTGGACCGTTGTTTCTGAAAGGGGCATTGGAAGACTGGATTGACAGAAATTCTATCAGCATGGATTAGATGTGATCTTCGCTCAGTCTAGTTCTCCACTGAGCTCAGATACTGGAGCAACAGCTAGCACCTTAGCCTACTCCTCTCACTTGACCCCCACAGACTGGACATCCCTCTCCTAGGTTCTGGTTCCCTCAAAGGAACTGCAGTTGGCTCCAGTTGGTGGAGATCATCCAGTATGCAGCCCTTTCCTAAAGCAGGGTCTTGAATGCCAGGCTGCATCTTCTGGCCCACACCTAAGACTTTCCTGTCCTCTCAAGTAGCAAGATATCTAGGTTTAGGGACTGGCAGGAGGCTGGCACAGGTGATAAATTAGCGTAGAAGAGGCAAGTTCTGTTTCCTTTAGACTGTTATTTCTTTTCTCATTTCTCTTTTACTCTCCTCTACTTCAAACTTTTATTCCTCAATATGGATATAGAGAGTGGCTATAGGATGAATGCTTGTGTCTCACTTAAATTCACACATGAATGCTCTAATCCTTGATGCAATAGTACTTGGAGGTGAGGTCTTTGGGGAGTAATTAGGCTTACATGAGAATGAGAACCCTATACTAAGATTAATGTCCTTAAAGAAAGAAGAAATACCAGAATCTCTCTCTCTTCCTGTCCCTCTTTCTCCCCTTTGTATGTTTGTGTAAGGACACAACAAAAAGGTATCCATTTGCAAACCAAGAAGGGGGTGCTCACAGACACAAAATCTGCCCGCATTCTGATCTCAAACTCCTTATCTCTACAAATGTGCAATAAATTTCTGCTGTTTAAAAGCCCAATCTATAACATTTTGTTACAGTATCCCAAGCTAAGACAACAATTTATTTATTTAGTTTTAAATGACATAATCCTATCAAGTTATTTTCAGTTTTCTAAGTGAATTATTCAAGTATACATCACTTTTAAATTTTTCACTAAGGGCTTGACAACCTTCAGATCCTATGCTAAGCACATGAGAATTCTATAAGATAAGCTTAATATTATCATGTGGCATTGTAAAAGTGAAGAAACTTATACTCAAATACTTTGGATAATTTTCCCAATGAACAAAGAGCCTAGATCCAGTTAAGTCTTTCTGTTTCTACTGAATCAACCAGGAACATTTAACATGAGGCTTTATAGAGAGGTTCTACTTTACTCTTCCAC